TTAAGTATTTTTTTTTCATTTATGTATTAAATAACTTAGATTTCTCATTTCTTAATTTTTTAAATAGTTCCTAATTCCCAAAGTTCATAGGAAAGTTAAATATTTTAGTTTTACAATTTTACTTGGAAAAGAAATCAAAATTTTCAAAAAAAAAAAAAACAATTCAGCTCGATTCGGCCTAGGCTCAAGGCCCGCCCTATGGCCCAACCCAGCACGGTCTAAGCCCATGGCACGGCTTGCAGCCCGGCCCAGGTCCGTGTGCCGGCACGGCACGGCACGGCACGGCATGGGCCCGCTTGGGCCTAAACCATGGGCCATGCCGGGCCGACCCCCAAAATTTCCACCGGGGAGGACGGCACGGCCCACTTTACACCTCTAGGTGGTAATGTTGTATCTTGGAGAAGTAAGAAGCAATCAGTTGTGGCTCGATCTAGTGCAGAGGCAGTGCAGAGCTATGGCACATGGAGTCTCAAAATTGTTGCAGTTGAAGAACTTCTTGACAGAAATGGGAGTGCAAATTGATACTCCAATGATATTATATTGTAACAATCAAGCTGCCATAAACATAGCCCACAACCTTGTTAAACATGATCGTACTTGACCGACATTTCATTAGAGAAAGAGTTGCCGGTGGAGAGATTTGTCTACCTTGTGAGGTTTGAAAACTAGTTGGCTGATTGTCTTACTAAAGGTGCTCCCAAATCAAAGTTCGACAACAATTTGAACAAGTTGGGCATGATAAATATCTATGCTCAGCTTGAGGGGGAGTGTTTAAGAGTGTGAGGGCATTTCTGTCCTTTTGTGAATTTTTATATTTGGGTGCCTATTCAAGGGCACCTTTGTAATTTTGCTTGTGAAGAAAAAATGAAGTCTCTTGGTGTGAACAGTGCCACACCAAGCATTCTCGACACTTCTTCCTCTTCAACATCTCTAAACCTTACAACTTAGAGAAACCTTGAATAGAAACTTTAAACAATAAAGTTTTCTAAATATAACAAAACTATAAGGACAGCTAACAAACAATATAACAAAACTACAAGAACAACCAACAAGAGACAATATCAAAAAAAAGAGGATAGAAGAATTAACTGGATTTTCTGCATCCACGGTTATCGATGATGATCATTGTATGGATTCCAATATGGAGACTTTCAGAGTCATTTAAAAAAAGGATGATTACCTCTGGCTTGAGGTCACGGTGAACCACGCCTTGGAGATGACAGAAAGCAACAGCACTTAGAATCTGGACCATAACAACTTTGGCATCCTCTTCTGAGTATTTTCCACCCCTAAAATCATAAATGAAAATCTCCCAAGTTAGAAAGTGATACGGTAGATTTCAGGAAAAAATTAAACATATACCAAATAAAGTACCTTGAGAGTATCCTGTCTAAAAGTTCTCCTCCCTTGCATAACCTGGAAAAGTGAAGAGTATAGGAATAACAGAGTTAAGATCTAAATGTGATTTAATTTTTCCAACTTCCTGAATATATATATATATGTGTGTGTGTGTGTGTGTGTGTGTGTGTGTGTGTGTGTGAGATAAATTCAAAATCTTCAAGACTTCAAGCATTCAAACGATCCCCAATAATCCTTTGGAAGACGAGATAACAATAAGGGTGAACATCTAGGAGAATCTACAGATTATAGAATTCTGACATTAATAGATGGGCGATTCAAATTAGCCAATTTCCAACACAAGAGATTCCATGGATGGGCGATTCAAATGGTATACTATATTTAAGGGTACATACTTTGACCAAGAGTCTGTTCCAAAAGTGATTTAATCCTATCAGATTAAATTTCATAAAATGTTTACCATTGAACAAGTCACAAGAAACTCTGACACATGGGTGTCATATGATGTCATGAGAGGACTAGCTTAAGGACCTAAAGTCGAGACCTGTTAATTCAGGTAGAGGTATGCATGGTATAGGCCCCACAAATCCTTCCCTCCCTCATCTCTTATCCATCAGACATTAAAACATGTAAAACCCAGCATGCCTGAAGGCCCTGAACCTAGTACGAACCATAAATTTTGATTTCATATACTTTTCAGTCAATATACCCAGAGCTTTTGCCATTATTTTTCTTATTTTGATAATTAGCTTTTGCCATTCATCACATCAACCAGTATCAGCTCAAGTGACTGTTTTATAACAGTTGAATTAGATGAAATGAAATGYTTATTGGTTTGCCTTTAAGTGGATAAAACAGTCATAAAGTGAAATATTTAGTGATGAAGTAAACAACCCAACATGTCATTCAGCAATTAAGGACCTCACACCCCACTTAATAGCTTATTCACCAAAAGACAAAGTGGCGTGCAATTAAATTCAGCCAATTCATCGTTATCAAATAGCCTCTAAGTGTTGGCCAAGTCACAGAATGGCACTAAGTTTGTCCTTCAGAGAGAGAGAGAGAGTCATATGTGTGCCTCACTTAGAAATAGTCCTAGCAATTATTGACCATCATTATTGTGCAGAAGGCTAAAAACTCCTGCAGCAACAGCATCAAATGTAACACAACAAGTTCAACAAAAGAAGTGGAGAAAATTAAACTTACTCCATCACTATATACACATTATCATCATCTTCATAAGCATCATAGAACTGCACCAAGTTTTTATGTCCTGTTATAGCATGCAGTATTTTCACTTCCCTTCTTGCATCCTCAATAGCAATTGTTGTGGTCATCTGTCAAGACACCATCAATCTTATAAGAACAAAAGAGACCTGACACAAACTTTTTGCCTAAGGCAGTGTTTGGTTGCAGTGCAATTTTATTTGCACTAGTACAAATGCATGGGAGTGCGAATGTAAAAAATGCAAATTCTTGTTTAATTTTGTTTTTGGATTTTACTTTATTCTACTTCATGTCTTAATTTACTTCATTTGTACTGTAATCAAACAAAATAAGCTAAAATTTGAAACAAAAATAGGTCAGAATTTACACTCAAATCATTTGCACTGCCATGGTTTTGCATCAGTACAAATTTATTTCTATTGCAACCAAACACAGCCTGAGGCTCAGTTTGGAAGGAGTGAAAATACAAATATGTACAATGCAAATCCTTGTATTTTGTATTTCAAAATTGCACTGTACATATTTGTATTTGTACTCTTCCCAAACTGAACCTAATTAGTAATTACCAATTATGATAACATGAGTTTGGTAATTAATGTGATACTTCTACCAAGAGAAAATGGAAATATTGTGAAATCTTGTCATTTCATATGGAACTGATGTAGACATAGTCAAGATGCAACAAGCTAAAAGAAACATCAGGCAATAATTAATTAAGGAACACAAATTGAGTTTGCAGCAGCAATCCTATTTTGTGGGTCATGCATTCATTATAGCACTGGCCCAATATAATTGCAGATGAAACTAGTGCCCAATAGAGTAGTCTTCATTATGATAGAAACTAGTGCCACCCACAATTTTCACTGGATGTCAAACACATATAATAAACCTAATTATAGTATCGAAAAATTAAGTTTTTACAGCAATAAAAACCATCACGTAGTTCAAAACTTTAACATTTTTTTAATCAGCAAATAGGATTGATTTTATTAGTGGGAGGGTAGAAATTACAACAGATAGGGTATCCATTCACCCAAAAATACAGAAAACAACAATGTCCATATAACTAATTTACAATAGAGACCAGAATAAGCACTACCCCAGTACCTCTTTCTTAGCCAAAGTGTTGACCATCCCATTAGTCGTCCTGCATGTCCAAGTAAAGGAAGCATTCAGGTCCCCTTTCTGACTCTATCTCCCTTAAGGCATGTCTATAAGCCCAAGGTACATTGTAACTAAAAGTGATCCAAGAAATAACCACTTTTGAGTCTCTTTCAACTTCCAATTTTCTAAAATTGGATAGCTTAGCAAGTTTAAGCCTTGTAACAGCACCATCAGTTCAGCCTTTAATGAGTGCCCTTCTCCTATAGGTCCTGAGTACATAGCCAGCACTTTATGTAAGGAGTCTCTAAACATACCACCAATACCTACCATCCCCAGATTTCCCATTGAACTCCAATCAAAATTTAACTTTAACTTACCCCTTGCTAGTGGCTTCCATTCCATCATCTCTCTTTCCTTTTGTTTTGAAGAGTGTGCCACCTCATTCCAAGCCCTTATTATATCAGTTGTTGTAAAGCATTGGAAGATGTCAAGGGTTTTTATCTAGCCACTTTAAGGGTCCGTTTGGTTCGCAGGAATAAGGGTCCGGATTCGGAATCGGATCATTCCAATTCCAGGCGTTTCGTTGGGTGGAATCGGAATCCAATTCCCATTCTGAGCGGAATGGCAATCCCCCATCTGAGGGAATGGCCATTCCCGACCCACCCCCTAGGAATCAGAATCCCATTCCCGTTTCTTAAAATAACAAAAAGCAAAATTACATTTAAAGCCCTCAAACCCTTTTCACTACCCAGTTCCAAACCCCTCTCTCACTCATCTTTCGTCTCTCTCTCCTTGCAGATGAAGAAGAACAGATTTGGACTGAAGCTCCAGCAACGGCAAGGTAAGTCACCGTCGATTTTGCTCTCTATCCTCTCCTATTCTTCTTCTTCCTCTCCTCTCCTCACACACTTTTTCATTCCTGTCATTACAGGTCCGGCGAGGACTACCGTGGAAAGTGAGTACTAGTTGTTGGGTGTGGCAATTCCGGCATGGAAGTCTCTCTTGATCTCTGCAACCACGAGGCCTTCCCATCCATGGTGGTTCGAAGCTCGGTGAGTAATCCATGACATATCACTCACTCACTCCCACTGGTCTTGTTCAATTCAAACACTTGTTTCTAACCGAGGATGAATTTGACTTCAATCCACAGGTTCATGTCTTACCAAGGGAGGTTCTCAGGAAATCAACATTCGAATTGACGGTTCTGATGATGAAATGGTTGCCTCTGTGGCTGGTTGATAAGCTGTTGTTGCTTCTGGCATGGTCAGTGCTTGGAAACATTGAGAAATACGGGCTGAAACGACCTTCAGTGGGTCCTTTTCAGCTCAAGAACTCTGCTGGAAAGACCCCTGTTCTGGATATTGGTGCACTGTGGAAGATCAAATCCAGTGACATTAATATCATCACTGGAATCAAAAGGTTCAATCGTGATAGTGTGGAGCTTGTCGATGGAGAAAAACTTGATGTTGATTCGGTTGTTCTGGCAACTGGGTACCGCAGCAACGTCCCTTCTTGGCTTCAGGTGAGAAGATGCTCTTATTTTCTTTTCCATTTTGGATCTGTTTGACAGCTGTGGAAGTCAGATTTCTGTTACTAGATTCTTTCTAGTTTTCATTCCCATTTTGGGTTGTTTTGATGCTCAGAAAAAAGTCAAGAGTTCTTAGGCAGTTAGAATATATGTATGTATAGATATATATATATATATATATATATATACATAAAAAGAGTTTCAGAAGTTTCTTCTGTTGATTGGGTTTTAGTTAAAATTTTTCTTTTCTAAGACAAGAAGTGAACAAGTGGACTGAAGTTGCTTTCAATATTTGTGTTAATGAAAGGAGAGCAAATTCTTCTCCAAGAATGGGCTTCCAAAGACTCCATTTCCAAATGGGTGGAAAGGCAAGGCAGGGCTTTCCCGATTTGTACTCTCAAAATTTTTATTACTTATATATTAAGAAAAGCTTACATGAATTGTCTGTGTTTAGAAAATGATTATATTGCTAACAATTTACACTGAACTCTCCTTGTTCAGGTTAGCTTTGGTCAGGCTGAAGCAAAGGTGTGTCAATGAATTACCTGGTCTGAAACTCCTCCAAGCTTTTCCCAATTTATACATTTCCAATTTCAAAACTAATAGGATGCACTGGTCTCAACCTTCTCATTTTCTTCCTGATCAATGCATTCCTTTTACTGATACAAAGAGATTTAGTTTGAAGTCACCTGATACATAGAAAGAAAATTCTAGTTTGAAATATACTGATCCAAAAAATAAATTTAGTTTGAGACATTTTTCCTTTTGCCTACATTTCATTTCTTTTCTAATAAAATCTCTTTTTCTACCACAGACTTTTGAGAAGGGTTGCCACCTTTAATTTTAAATAAAATCTCTTTCATCTTGTTACCAATAAAAAATAGAAGAAATTATTTTGTTGTTTGTTTGTATTCTATTGCTAAGACTATATGAATGATAAGAAATTGAATGTGAATTTCAGGGAATAAAACGAAGTTTCCAAGACATAATAATCATCTTGATGGAATTTAGTTTGGCAATCCTTGTAGTTACTTTCCTACTGTAGCATCACTAGCTCTAATTTGGATTCTTCTGCCAGTTTGTTCTGGCAGAGAGTTTGTTCTGAAAAATCCCATTGGAAATAAACCTCTTTTAGAGAACAAGGACTCTGAATGCCCGGTTTAAAAGACATCTAATTTCCGGTTCATCCCCAGAAAGCAAATAATTATATATTTCAAGCATAGTACATTGAATTAGTTACATTTTGGGAACACTTGTTAAAGGAGTAAAAGAGTAGAACTTCAAGCACCTTATAGCACATAATAAGTGAAAACTGCGGCGTTGGTCTGAACTTTGTACATCATCTATGACTTTGCTAAGACAGTTTTCAACGATAACCACCAAAGTTTTAATCCGTGGTTTAGGAGTGGTACTTAATCTTGAAAATTAACACATATACCTTTTTTTTGACATGTTATCTTTCTTAATCAGATAGAAGCTGCAATGAATGACTTTATTCAGCTGAAGCCACAATCTAATGTTTATGAGGCTGAAACAATGATTGAAGGTTAGGTCTTCTTCTACTGTATTCTTTTGCTTTTTATCTTTTTTTTTTATTTTGGTTGCCTGGACTGGGACATATATCTTTATTGCAATGTGGTTGCAAACCCATTTAGCCAGAGCTGGAGCCTTGAAGTTGGATGGAGAATAACCTGGATTTGGGAATATGATGATCTCATGATCAAGATGATGCTGACCAACCAACTATGCCACAAGATTTTTTTTTTTTTTTTGAGGTTATATTTGCAAAAGTCCAGATGAAGCACTAGAGATGGCAAAGCTTATATCTGCAAAAGTTTCCCAACAAGCAAATGATAAACCAGAATTACACTTAAAGATGTACCAGTAATCTTTGAGGTTCTTTTAACAGGGGCAGAATTGGAATTTTTGGCTGATTCCGATTCCAGCTTCTAGTTGAGCCAAACAGCAGGAATCGGAATCCGATTCGATTCCTGACTGAACCAAATGGATGCCAGGAATAGGTGATTCCGATTCTGATTCCTGGGGATTCCAATTCCGGTCCTGTCCGCGAATCAAACGCACCCTACCCTAAGTTTTATTAAATCCACCAACTCCTCCTTTGACCTGAGCTTCTCTTTAAATACTCTTGCATTCCTCTCCTCCCAAATGGACCACACCACAGCAGCTCTAACTACCTTCCACACTGTTCTTCCTCTTTTTGTTAGCTATCTTAGGAAATTTGGACTGAAAAAACTCGCTACATCCTGAGGAGCTATCCACTTGCAACCAAAAAGAGAACAAAAAGACTCCCAAATAAACAATGCAAAGGGACAAGAGATTAATAAATGGGGTAAGGATACACCATTTGCAAAACAAAGAAAGGACACGTGTGGGGAAAGACATCTATTCGGCCTCCTTTTTTGAAGCAAATCATAGGTGTTCACCTTTCCAAGAAAAACCTCCCAGCACAGTGCTTGAACTTTAGGTGGTATGGGCTTACTCCAAATTTCTTTCACTGGGAAATTCTCTCCCACCTCTAATGGTTGCAAAAGTGAATTGACAAATGAGGCACAAGTGAAAATACCATCGGGGGAGGTAGTCCAAGCTCTAGTGTCCTCCATGGTTTGAACCAAGAAAACAGACTGGAATTTAACCAATAACTGAATAGGGGTCTCACACTCACTATCTCTCATCCCCTTCTGAAGCCAAAATCCCAACTCACACCCAGAGAAGAGAAAGTGACAAGTCTCAAAATTGGTTGGCACTTGCAGTCAGACACTGAATAAAGGCCCAAGAAAAGGGAACTAAGAGGAGCATCAACCAGCCAAATCTCTTCCCAAAAGAGAGACCTCGACCCACACCCCACATCATACCTGATAAAATTAATAAAGGTTGGGTATACCTTTTGAATTTGTTTCCAAGGGGAACTTGAGGTTGAAGAAATGGCCACCCTTACATCCCAACCATTGTCCATCATCTTGTGAATGCTTTCAATGACCTTGTGCCACAACCCGTCTCTTTCCAATAGGAACCTCCAGATCCACGCTCCTAGCAAAGATGTATTCCTAATAATTAGGTTCCTTATACCGAGTCTTTCCTTCTCCTTTGCTTTTCTAACTTGTTCCCACTTCACTAGATGGTCCCCCTTCTCATCCCCAGACTCCCACAGAAAATCCCTCATAAGCTTTTCTAGTTGACTTGCTATCCTAGATGGAATTCTAAAGGTGGACAGTAAACAAATTGGATGATTGGCTAAAGTTGCTCTAATCAGAGTAATCCTCCCACCCATCAAAATGTAGTTCCTCTTCCAAAGGGCCAGCTTCTTAGTGAATCTCTCAACCACCAATTTCCAAAACACTTCAGATCTCAGGTTCCTCTTAAGGGAAGTCCTAGATACTCCATATGCCATTGTCTAATCGCACACCCTAATATCTCTGCCAAACTATTCAAATCTTCCTCCTCCACATTGATACCTGCTATACAACTCTTTCCCCAATTTACCTTCAATTTTGAGATGGCTTCAAAGGAGTTAATAAGCTCTTTCAAATTTTGTGAGATTTTCATAATTGCCTCCCTCACAAAAAAGAATGATATCATCCACAAACTTTAACTTTCTCAAATGAACTTATCCAAAAAAATGACTTAGCACAAGGACCCACCACCTTGAAACATGCTGAGAGTCTCACACATTCTCCTGTAACATACCTGGCTACACAAGGATCTTTCCCCATCTCACGGAAGGGAAATACCTCTGACAACTAGTTACAGGTTTCAGTTTTCTTCCCCATAATGCAGAGAAGGTAAAACATGGGTTTAGGTACAAGATGCCATCATTAACACCTCAAAAATTAGAGATCCAATGTGCAATCAACAACCCAATTCCAAGATTGCACTCTTTCGACAGAGCCATAACCCCCATTGCGATAATCCACATAAACACCGGATGAGGGCATTTAATGCAAAATATTTACTACAGACAGGAAAAAAAGTCCCAGATGAGATTTGCAAAAAGAGCAGTGATATCACATCAATTTGAACATGTGCATTGCAAATTTGGCTCAGTTTAGAAGTACAAATGTAAATGTGTAGAGTGCAAAACCTTATATTTGTATTATTTTGTATGTATTTACACTGTACATATTTGCATTTGTACTCTTTCCAAACTGAGCCTTTTAGAACAAAGTTTATGAAAAAAAAATGCAGAAGAAACAGAAAACCCAAAAAATAAAACTCGCACGAAAAAGCAAAGACTGATAGTTTAAATTTGAAAGAATTTCTGAAACAACATATTAGCAGAATAGATGGAAGATCAGTATAAACAAGCAAAAAAACGAACCTTTGCTTTGGGAATAACCTTGACAGCCAATTCGTGTCCCTTCAATTCCCCTTTCTTCGCCTTTGCCAAACAGGTATATCCGAAATGCCCACGTCCCACCTCCTCACCAAGCTCAAACTTCTGGAGGAAATGCTTTGAGAATCCAAAAGACTTATCCAATCCAACTTCACATTCGCTTCCCTCAGGAATCGTGGCCTCATTTGGCTTCACGGCGCCATGCCTGCGAGCAAGCAATGCCTTGATGTGCTTTGCAGGGGAAGGTGGTGGAAATGGTCGCTTGAAGAAGCGCAGAGGGGTCGAGGTCACACTTGAATTGGCTGGCGAGTTCTTGAAACCACTCGGTAACGGACTGGGGCTGTAGAATGGAAAGTTCGAAGGTTTAGTGGCATCCGAATTCGCTGCATGTTCGCTATTGCCCGGAACCACAGAATTCTCTGCATTGCTTGAAGGGACTTCGATCGGCTTTCCATGACAGAGTCCCATGGAATCAAGAATGTAATCACAGAAGTCGCGAAAAAAAAAATACCAAAAAACTGAGAAATTTGTAAGGAGCCGAAGAAGGAAAATCGAAATGCTAGGCAAATCGAAAAACCCGAACAAGGAAAAGAACTCGAGAATTTACTAGCCCAACGTGCTAAAACAGTCAGGAACTAAAGCAACAAGAAGGAAAAAGAGAGAGGCACATAAACTCAAAAAGGAAACAGAAAACCAGTTAAAAACTTATATTTTAAATCAAACAAAGCAAAGAGAGCTCAAAAGCCTCAAATCAGAAGAAAAAACCAAGAAATATAAAATAGAACAGAAGAAAAGATAGCAAATTTACAAGAAAATGAAGAGAAAGAATTTGTGCTGTTCAACTGATCAAACCAAGAAACAGAAGAATACCCAATTAGGAAAACTCTCAACCAGTTCAATCTAATCGGAAAACAAAAAATAAAAAATAAAAGAAAAACAGCAAAGAAAGGTCCAACAAGAAGGGAAAGAAGGGAAGGAGGGAGAAGACCATAAACAAAAGATGCTTAGAAGGGGCTGCAAGAAAAAAAAATAGAAAAGAAAAGAAAGAAAACCCAAACTCCCCCCTCCCCCTCCCTTTTTTTTCTGCTTTTTAGCTTTTTTTCTGAAGGGGTTTTGATGGAAAATTAGCTTTATTACAGAGCCCTCTAATAATGGGAAGCGTGAGAGAGGAACTGTGGATTCTTTGGTTACAGGCTGTCTCTTTTGATAATTTGATCCCAGAGAAACTCCATGGAAACGCATTTTATATACGCACGTCAGAGGAATTGTGCTGGTCATTTTACATCTATAAATTATAATCACCTTTTAATACTTTTTATTGGATTGAAGTTTGACTTGCTTTGGGGTTTGAAAGGCTTTCTTCTCCCTTTATTGGTGCTTGAGTATCTGTGGCTCTGTGCTGAGGTTTCAGCTAGGGGTGAGAAAAAAACCGAACCGACCGACGGTTCGGTTTCGATTAGGTGTTTTAAAAAGACTGAAGGTATTGGTTTGATTTTAGTTAACCAATATAAAAAATCGGTGGTTAATTGAATTGACCTGTAATACATATATTTTTATATTATATATATTTTATATTTTTATATATTATAAATGAATAAATAGGCATTATATATATTTATAATATATGATATATATTTTGGGGTTTAACTCGGTTCAGGGGATAGAAGGGCTTTAGACCGATCCCTCTGAACCAGGTTCTAAAAGAGGAAAAAAAAAAAAGAAAAGAACGAGGGCTGATACAGCCCAATACACCCCTACCGGCATATCAGGATGTATCGATATTTTGAACCTTACTTGCTAATATAGAGTTTTGTCTAGATCCAGTATGATTCCACATTGGGTGAATCAGTCCTCAACCAATTATTAATGGATTTTATAAGGAAGTATATGACAAATCTTTTCATGTGGTTTTTCAATCTTTTTAAAACTTGAAAGTCAAATGACAAAAAATTAGGAAGCTTCAAATGAAGCATATTAGCCTAAATTTGTTCAACAGCCCAATAGAACACAATACGCTAGGATACTTCTCAAACTGTAATGTTTAAAGAGAAAACCCTAAAAATTCAGTATGTCTTTTTGACCCTTTGAACTATCAGAAGATCTTCCTACAGACTTGTCAAATGGCAGCAAAATAGATATAGAACTGTTTAAGTATTGATCAATACAATTGGGTCTGACCCTTTTAACCAAAATTGTTGTATATATTGTGTATAAAATCTCCTTTAGACAAAATATAATAAAAATGCAAGATAACAAGGAAACCTTCATAATTATTAATTATAAAATCAGTCCAGATCTTAATCAATTTTGAACAGAAACAACCGGTCTCACCCTTTCTATAATGGATACACAAAACTCAGAACCGGAATGATATAACCGGTTCAGTCAGCTTGGTTTTATCGGATCAACCCATCCCATTTGAGTTGAGCACTGGGCCAGACCACTGACTATTTTGAACAATGAACTGTAGCCTCATATATCTAGACTTGGGTTCAAATGTTACGGAATTGGTACTTGGTAGCTTTTCAAGTGTTCAATAAGTTGCTACGTTGCTGGTGTATCTCATGTGAATCGCCGCCGGTTCAACCATGTTGTCTCTCTCTTTGCCTCTTTAATTATGAACCCGAGTTTCTTGTGGTGGACTCCGTCTCTCCGTGAGGCCCTCCAATAAAAGAAAGGGTAAATTGATAAATTCTCCCCTAAGGTGTTTATCTTGTTGAAACTTCCCCTAAAGTTTGGTAATTGCAAATGTCTTTTCTGAATTTTTTAATATAATTGCAAGTAGACCCCCTTTATTCAAATCCTCTAACAAGAAGCACATAAATGTTCAAAATACTCATCAATTATTATTGAGGCTGGTTTCTATAGAAAAAAAAAAACAATATACACATTATGAACAACAAAAAGAGAGTTTAAAAGTTGCAGGCTTGCAAGTTTACTGTTGAATAATTGATATGAAGGACAAATTTGAAAAATAAATTAATTTTAGAAAAATAATTGCATGGGTAGTTTGGATATTTTTGTGGCTCTTGTTAGAGGATTGTAATAGAGAGGTTCTACTTGCAAGTGTTTCAAAAAATTGAAAAGAAGTAATTGCAATTATTAAACTTCAGGGAGGTTTCAGCAAGGTTAACCCATTTAATTGCAATGGTTGAATTTACTGACCATCACTCAGAAAAGAAACAGTTTCATTTCTCTGTCAATTTCTAAAACCAAGGTTCAAAGTATCGACACACCCAAGGTTCAAAATGTCGATACAGGGTGATACACCGGTAGGGCATATCAGCCTGTATTGGTACTATTTTTATTTTATTTTATTTTTTTAAATCGGGTTCAAAGGGGCAGGCCAGTCTACCCCCTGAATCACTCGCCGACCCAAAACATCCCTTATAGGGGCATATCGAGAAGGCCCTGATACGATACGTATCAATTCTATCGGACGATAAATAATGATATTTTGAACCTTGGATACACCACTTTTGTGTATCTGTACTTTAAACTATGCACCTTTACTGTTTTTTTTTTCAAATATATATATATATCCGGTGATCCAACGAGTTATGACTTTATATAAAGTGACCTCTTGGGAGGGCTTTCATACAGTGGCTTCTCTCCTTACATGAGCTTAAAAATCCAGAAAACCGTTAAACAATGTTAAAGAAACCAAAAAAAGGTAGCGTTCTTTTTTTTCCTATCTTTTCTTTCAAACCAAACACGGATATAGGGTTTTTATTTATGGGCTTAACAAAAAAATCACTAAAATTGTGACCCAATGAACTTTCAAGACCGAATCTGCTCTTCACACCTGGTGCCTCAGAGGCGCCTCACATGCACATTCTACCATGCATTGGAAACATCTCTCGTACTTATTAATTATTATTCATGGGAGATGTTACCAATGCACAGTCGATATGCATGTGATGCGCCCATTTGTGAGGAGCAGATACTGTCTCTGAAGTTCCTGGCTTTACATCTTGTCAGCATCTAACAACTTTTAGTTGAACAAAACTAGGTTGATCTAAACCAGCAAGGCTAGAATTTGAAACAGTTTGAGATTGTAATTTCAAAAATTAATTAAAAACATACAATCATACAACACTTTGTATCAGAAGTACCGGTACAAGTGTACCCACCACCGTTTAATCTTATAATAATTAATATTGGGGTAAATTGTTAAAACCTTTTATGAAGTTTTTAACTATTGTTGAAACTTATCTTGAAGTTTGGTAATTACAATTACTTTCCCTAAACTTTTTGACAGTTGCAAGTAGACCCTGTTTATTAGAATCTTCTAACAAGAGGCTTGAAAATATCTAAAATACCCATGCAATTATTATTGAGGTTAGTTTATACAGGAAAAGGAAAACAAAATAATCTTTATAAACAAAAAAAAAAATAGAGAATCTAAAGTTACAGCTTTCCCCTTGAGCTATTGATACGAAGGACAAATTTGAAAAATAAATTAATTTTAGAAAATAGATTGGAAAGATTTAGGCTAACCAGTCATATGAGAAAAAATTTTGAAAAATAAACATTTTGGTCAAAACTAACTGCATGGATATTTTAGACATTTTCATACCTCTTTCTAACAAAAGGGGTCTACTTATAATTATATTTTTAGAAAATTCTAACAAAAAAGATTTACTTATAATTATATTAAAAAGTTCAAATGAAATGATTGCACTTATCAAACTAAAGGTTTTAGAAATGGTCATAAACTTGAGGGAGAGAAGGTTTCAACTTTCAACAATTTACCCTTAATATTTAGTAATGATCATCACCAGTATTAACAAAAAACAGCCATCATTATTCTTTAGAGACAGGGGATTTAATTTACTCTGACCTTAGTACGAAACTGATTGGAGCAAGCCACCTGGAAATGAATAGGAGGCTCAAATAGTTCACTAATCAACTACTTAATCAAATATCTTAAACCTATTTTTAATGTAGGTCAACTCAGACCCTTTGAATGTAAAAAAAAGAAGAAGAAGAGAGAAAAAAAAAGAATTGAACATCTTGAGGTCAATGATTGCTGCTCCTACTGAAGAATGCCTTGATCAACAAAAGAAAATGACCAATAATGAACCTTCTAGGCATGAAGTGGTTTACCCATCAAGATACCCTACATAGTTTGTCACATGGTTGGAAGAGTAGGTGCAGGAAATCATGGCAAACTGGAAACATTTGGAACATTTTTTAGCTAATGATTTCTATTATAATCAGTAGAAAAATTCTGCAGTCAATTAATTAGGTTCTGACTGTGTGAGTATCCCCTTAATTCTGGATTGTGTTTTTTATCCTTGATTTAAATATCAAATGTTAAAAAAAAAAATCAATATTGGCTAGCAGTTAGAGATGATTAATGCTATTTAGGATCTTTTTGTTTGTTGTGACAAATTATGTACTTGGTACAGTTTTGCATCTGTTTGTTTGTAAATTATAATTATATGGTTTGTACTCATATCTGATATAAAATCTGTATTTTCTTTCTCATTTGTACTCACTTGCAATGCAGATTTTGCTTCAAAAAACTGAAAAACTTCACCACCTTCCTCGGTTCCTCTTACGCCAATTCTCTCTCCTTTAAAGTGGGGACCACATTTTCTTGCTTCTTATCTCACTACCAAATAAATAAGGGTGCAACTCGGGTTGGTCTGAGTTATCGTTTTACTCAGTTTTGGTTTTGGGCCTTCAAACCAGGCAAGATTCAAAATATCAATATGCCTGATACGCCGGTAGGGGCATATCGGGAGAATCACTACTGTTTTTTTACTTTTTTTTCTGAAACCGGTTCAGAGGGGCCGATTTAGGGCTCTTCCACCCCCTGAACCGGTCAGCTACTCCCAATACACCCACTATAGGGGCATATCGAAGGAGTCCCGGAACGATACGTATTAGCCAATATGGACCAATATGTTGATACTTTGAACCTCAAAATCAGGCCCATTCAAATTTTGACAAACCCCAACCCAAATTGCCCAAATTGCAGCCCTACAAACAAATAACCCTTCTCTTACTTCCGTTCTCTTTAATATGAGGTAGGAATCACATCATTTTAATTGTTTTTCACAAACAAATAAGAGAAAGCCAAATCCGAAGCAAAAGTAAATCAGAATTTATGCTCAACATAATTGCACTTTCACATATCTATACCAGCGCAAATGAATTTTGCAACAAGGCTCAGATTGGAAAGAGTATAAATACAAATATATGGTGC